GACTTCTGTTTTTCAAATGAGAACCCACCCACTCTATACTGTAGATCATTTAGAGAATAATTTTTCGGAACGTGTTGGAAAATCGAAATTAAAATTCGAATCGTAGTAGTTCTTGTATAGTCATTTACAACTGTGTGTAAGGCCGAAGATAATGGGTTTCGACAATACGAAGGCTATGGTGATTTAAAAATGTTAGTAATTAATCTGTAGACCTGGTAAAAATGTATAATCAATACGAGATACAATATTACATCTTATTTATATTTTTGTAAAATCGTTTTTAAGGAAATTATTATTAGTTATTAGTGTAAACACATTATAATAACCGAGAAACTACTCTTTCAAATTTTGAATTAGCTACATTGACATTTTCAAAAATATTTTCTACTAAATAATTAACAGCGAAGGGCTTCTAATTTGAAAAAAAAAACAGGAGTTTTTATCGCCGCAGGACACTCCCAATAGTAGTACAAAACAATGTCAAGGATTTGAAAATATGGTCTTGAACTCTTAAAGTGTGTTTAAAATTTAAAAAACAAAATTTAATTAAATGAAAACACGGGGGTGATCATGCTTGGTGAACCACTCTGTATATGTGTATTTTAATGATATGGTGCATAATGTGCATGCTACTTGTATACAACAGTTGTACCTGTAGGCACGTGCAGTGTAAATACCACAAACGCCGTCCTAAAGATTGTGAAGTTGTCGTCGGTCCGTAAGGCGCGTCCTGTTAAACCGACCTTAACCATGCTGCTGGTAACCGTCGGAGATAATATGCGTTTATAAATTATAAATAGCGATGACAATTATGACGACGATTATACCGTTCGCAAGACCGCCGCGAGAAATCCGGATTCGTCGTGACGTCGTCGCGGGGAGCGAGCGCACGCTTCTTTATTATTTCCGGTCAGCGGAAGTGGGCGTGCAAGTTCGCCGAAATATTTTTTTTTCCCGACGATTTGGACGACGTCCGAGGGCCATGGCAGGTTTCACAACCTAATTAAGTCGGTTCATTCGAATTTGCTTATAAATTGTACAGCCTTTGGAACGTTCACAATGCGCGTACCACGTGTGCCAATTTGTTTAGTACTTAAGTACCACGTGATAGTTTAAAGACATTTAAAGTATCGTGGCCTGCCGCACCTACACTTAAGGAGTTCGTGGTGCAAAAATTAATATATAACAATAACGAGAAAAAGAATTTAACTAATAACCGGGTACAAGTATTCAATTTATAGAATTCTTAAAAAATAAAAATAATAATACCTATTATTGGATAACAATATAATTTTATTGAGCAGTTTAAAAAAAATATCGTCCATAATACCTATAGGTACACACTACACACATGATAGAAATGAGTGAAAAAATGATAGCGTTTTTTCATTTGCAAAACTATCCTCTTCTCCCATGAATTATAGTCAAAACCCACGCTCAAATTACTTGTTGCGGTTTAATAATTTTAAAGTAAAAATGGTACGCATAAAATCCGTATTCAACATTTCTAAGGTTAAAAGAGTGTAACAGTCTAAAACAGTGAGCTCAAATTGACCTGTGTGACTTAATAAATTTAGGGTACAAAAATATAGGAACCCACGTTAAAAACGGGTGACGCCCATTTCGCGTACACTCGCATGTGTACACAACTACATAAACACATGACTAAAATATAATATTATTATAATAAGACAAGCGTTAAGTAGGTGCAAATTCTTCGGCGGCTATAATATACGCACGCGAAAATTGTAACGATCGACCCCCGCAGAAGACGCGCGCATGTTAGGATTATTATCATCATCATCATCATCATCACAGTTATTATATAAATATTGTATTTGATATTTTAATTTACGCTCAACATGCTACACGCATCATCATCATCATCATCATCATCATCGTCGTCATCATCGTCATAACATAATATACCTACTATGATTTTGCATATTATTATACCTACGTGTCTGCATATACGTGCCAACGGGCTCGTCGTCGCGGCGAGAGGATAATATTATTATCATTATTATTTTCATATTATTATATAGGTACGGAGAGAATCTGTTCGATAGGCATCATCGTCATAATATATCCATCGTACATTACCCATCGTACTTTGCACGAACGATGAAAATAATAATTACACGACGCAACAGGTAGGTAAGCGCTTGGCTCGGCGGCGTCCCGTTTTCGGAGGAGGTACCTATATAGCTATACTTACGATACATAATATTATTATAATATCATATTATAACCGCCGTGTGTTGTAGCAGTTACGGTATGTACCTACCCGTCCACTTTAATGGATTTTTTTCGCTCTCACCCTCACTCACTTATCCCGACAAGCGTTTCCGCCGATTCGCCGCGATGTAACGACGTCAACAAGTGTTTACGCGGCCGCCGCCGACAAACACACGCCTATATTATATTTTATTAATACAATCATTTAATATTATTACAAAATGATAATATTTTAAATACGCACCACGAGAAAAACCGAGTGAAAACGAATATCAACGCGGACGGACGGACGGCGTGACGACTGCGGCGTGTAAACGTGCATATATTATTATTATTATTATTATTATTATAATATCCGTTTTTTCGCTCCGTTAACACCGCGTGGCAACGGTTAGCGCGAGTAGGTACGTATCATACCCCCGACCCGCGATACCCACATCCGTCTCTACTTATTTTTTGTTGTACAATATTATAATATTATTATTATTATAAAGTGTGTCCGCGGTGCGTGCGAATAATTTAATTTTTCTCTTCCTTCCCAGCGTTATAATATTATATTTATCGCCGGTCCAACACCATCATATTATACAGCCATGATATGCGTACAACAGACGGTTTCGTGTTTTGCACTTAGCTGCAACGATGGTCGTGTGGATGTATATTTTTCTCCGTGTCAAACACATATTATACATAAATATATATTATATTATTATAATTTTCCGTATTCTCCGGTCACGCTTACTCCGCGGCGATACGCGTCCTACGTCATATACATACATTGGAAGCACCTACCTACATGTTATGATTATTATTATTTTTATGTATAATTCCATATAATATAATGGTGTTATATATGTGTTTGTTTTCATTTTTTTTTTTTTATGTATAATGTTAAAATTTACGCGTTTCGCGTTAAAACTCAAATGAGATTTGCCGTACTCGTCGTAAAGGTACCTAATATATACATACATAATATACCGCGAGTAGGTATATACCGTTAGGCCAGTCATAATATATCATATCTGTTTTGTAATTAAAACGAAACCGTCGCTATATATATCATGATTCATGTATGTAGCATAGTACCGTATATATTATATGTGTGTTTGATTACACGCTCATGTGTACCTGTACGAGGTGCCTACCCACCTGTGGATATACAGGTACCTATACTTAATATGTAGTATTTGCCTAATCGTGTGATACTGAAGACGTACGTCAACGGTATATACCTATTCCGTTCTGCACATGCGCAACAGAGCCCACTATTATATGCATAATAGGTACATATAATATCACACACCTTTAATATATATATATATATATATTATGTATAATTTATATAGTACATATTATATAGAATATATACATATTATCATTATTATTTCATCATGGAGTTCTCGATTCATCACGCGTAAACACGTAATATAGTACCCACCCGAGTCGTAATAATTGCCAGTAATAATAAGTAGAGTAATAATTTATTGGGATCGTAATTTTAATTTTTGCCAAACACAATTATAGGTCACCTAAAATATGAACAACTGGACCACCCACTTAGCTCACAAAACATATACCTATATATGATATACATACATGTGATTATAGGAACTATAAATATTGTTATGTTACGGTTTATTGGGTAAATGCCAAACGACGTAATATAGACGTCGACTCTAAAAAAACACATTTAATGCTTCTATACATTTTTTTCACTCTACATAATATTAATATTTGTGTCGAAAATTAAATGTTATATTAGATCAGTCGAATGAATTATTCAAATGGAAGAAATTGCAATAAATGTCACAGGTTTATCATAAATTATCATATTTCGTTTTTGATCCACATGTATAACATTCATTGCATAATATACACTTTTGACCGGATTTATTGGAAATTAGATTACGAAAAAATAGGTTTTTATTCGTGATCTGAACGGTATGCCTATTATGTAAATAAAAGTCAGGGACTTCCAGTTTTTTCCATTAAATTTAATTAAAAATATTGTAAAATGTCGAGAATAATATGTAAATTGCATCGGAGATTTGTCGCACACGTGTAATGGGAAATGTAGATCCCCGACCGTGATTTAATTCATTTTATGGTTTTGGAATAAAACGCCCACCTGCGTAGGCATACCTAGCCTAACCTAACCTACATTTTAATGAAATTTTATGGAGCGTTTTATATTCTTCGATTTCTGATCCATGTCTCTGATGATGGCTGCAAGGGCGGAAGAATATCATAATCGTGCACCGAATGCAGCCACCTGTATCGCACTGCAAGTCCATTAATCAACCGGCTTCAAGAAATAAATTCAATTATTTCTGGTCCATTTGTTGTAGGCACCTACCTACTGCTTACAGCGGCCGACAAACAACACAATAGCATGGACATATTTACTACTATTAACCATCGCGTGACCCGAGGGCTGCCAAACGAACTTCGGGCTTCTGTTTGATTAATTTTTGTTTCCATCCTTTACGCATGCGCCTTATTATTAAGAATGTTTGTAATCGTTGAATAACTATTTCGTTTATATACGCATTACACGTCTTAAATGGTTATTTTTCTTTAGCTCTAATGTGTTCTTCGTATCACTCGTAGTATAACGAGATAATATTTGTTGACGCGTAAAATCGCAAGACACCTGATAAACAAAATATTTTTAGATTAAGTCCAGATTTACGTAACCTGAATGTCTTTGAATTAAAAAATGTTTTAAAATTATGTCTAATATAATAAATTTGATTTTGCAGGAGGTGCTATCAATATTGTTTGAATTATTCGACAAAGACAATGAACAAGTACTCAAGCAGGAACAATGGATACAATCTTTAAAAGAGAGATTACTGTGAGTAAATTTTTAATTTAATAAATGTTAAGTAAATTCACTGAATGGATTTAAATTGTATCCAATAAGCAGGTTAGGGTACCTATATACCTACCCAGTTACTATTCGTACACCCATAACCATCTGTTAATCTTATGGAACAATATTTTCATACTTCGCGAGAATCGAGATTTTATTATTTTCAGAGTACCTATATAAATTATACTTCAATTAAATGAAATACAAACTAATATACATTAACCGGCTCAAGTACTCAGTAAATAACTTGACGTACATTGTTAATACAAACGGTTTAATATTTTATTTTTATTTTTGCTGTCGTGTTTTCTAATAATATGTCAAATCTTATTAAACTATTTATGCATAAAGGATAAAATTAACCGGTTGTAATGAAATTGTATATAAATTCAAAAGCGACGTTATCTCATCGTATCCATATAAAGTATATATAAACATGTACTTAAAACGAGGATTAAAAAAATAAACGGACATTAAACACGGGTGGGGAATTGCGTATTTTGTGTAGACAACATATTTAATATCCGTTTTTACTGCTAAAAAATGATCTTACTGATGAAAAGCTTTTAAAAAAAATATGTAATAGGTACTCATGTGAATCCGTACAGTTTTTATAGGCAACTACCACTTTAGCAATACATAAGCAAGTGAAACACTGCGCAGAAATAACGCATAAAATTAAGATCAACTATATTTTATTACATAACCATATACATTTCATTTAAGTCTTGAAATACTCGCGCACTTCATACCAGAATAATTTTTAAATTGATTATAACATTTAATTGTAATGTACAATGTAATGTTATGTATAATGTATTGATGTTATTTTCTGAAAAAAAAATTGCCATGATCTTTTAATGTTTTTCGGATTCAAACTTCTAGCTAATATATACCGAATCGTTAAAAGAATTGCAGTGCATTTAAATTATACATAAACTATAGGTCAATAAGAATTCAGACTAACAATTTTAAAATTGTTGTTAATTATTATAATATCTATATGATGAAATCATATCTAATAAGTATATGTATTATATGTATACATACATAAATATTACATTTGTAAAATCATTTAATTTGTGATTAAAAAACTAACTTACAATTTTATTTCATTTTCAACAATATGAATTTCCAAGGAAATACATTTTTTAAATATGGCATTTTATTATAATTTGATTTTAAATAATATGTTTCCGTATATTTTTGGAACAAAATCATAACATTTAGTAAATTAAAATTATTATTTCCATTTAAGTCTTTATCATTTTAATAAATATGTTCTTAAATCTCAAACAAATTAAGATAAGGTTTGGAACATAAACTAAATACATTACCTAATAAATTTCTAGAACCAAAATAATAAATGTTATCAAAATTAAACATTTAACTGACAGTTAAAAATTAGAAATTAGACATTTCTGAAAAAAAATATTTTAATTAAATACATTTTTAGCACATATAAAACATTAAAGTTTATTGTGTGCAGGTATCCACTAAAGGAAGAGTAGGTAGGTTTTATTTTTTATTTCGAAAATATGACAAATAATGACATAAAACAAATTGTTTACTGTACATTATTTAGGTAGGTATAGTATACCTGGTACATAAATAATCGTACAGCGTACCACAGATGGTATGTTACTTATAAGCCCCGTGCCAGTAATATAGTGCATATTATTATCATTGCTCTAATCACGCATAAGTAGCCTTCTCGTAAGTCGTAATGTAGGTACCGGAGGAAATGTAAATTTTAAATCCAATTAAAGTAATTAGGAATGTGAATCGTTTATACCTGCATGTACATTTCACAATTATGCGGAACCTGCAGTTAATTAAAACAGATGTAACTGAGTCTGATGGAGTTGCGTGGTCGTAGATATTTCTTTTTGCGTTTTATCGGTAAAAATTTCTTTCACTGTTCAGTTTACACCGTACACGCTAGGCTCGATGCCAGTTCCCGTTCAAATAAATGTATTTTGCACCAAGAGCAGACAACACGAGTCAACGATATTTGCATAGTAATTAATTGTTGGAGCAAAGAAAAAACAATATTGTCTGATTCATAGTCGATGTAAAAACATCTAAGCATTTAATGAGAATCAACAGGTAGAAATTATGTATACCTACTGTTATTTCTAGATCTTCAACTACAACAGTCAACGCTGATATAATGATTTTACTCTGAATTGACAATTATTATATAAAGAGTCATTGACACTATATTGTATATATTATTATATAATATGTACATATATTGTATATACCATTTAAATGCAACCAAATTGAATCTAGTTTTGTGATTAATTAAATTATTGTATACACAGCGGTTGTCCAATTGCCAAAAAAATTTACAATACACCCATACACATTTTGCAGTGCTTTCTATAATATTTTATTTTCGTACATTAACTACAATCAAGAATATACTCTTAGTTTTCTCTTTAATAATTTAAACAAGGAAATCGTCATTATTCACACGAATATCGAACTATATCTGTAAGAATAAAAATACATATAAATTAATTAGATATATAAGCGTATAAACGTATATACTTTCTTTTACTTTTATCATTCACCGGTGAAAATAAATTGGTTACAATAATAATAATGCGACAATATCAAACGCTGCAGTGTACTTATTTTAGGAAAGCTGCATGTAACCGGACCGTTGTTAACATATGCTTTACAACTAATCATACTAATCAAACTACTTTGATTTGTGTCCAAGACTAAGACTACTGTGCTATGTTTCCCACGGCATTTATCATGTGTACCACAAGCTGTTTTCAAGATCAAATTCTCCGATAATCATGTCGCGAACCAATGCTATTAGCAGGTGGTTTTATTTATTAATTTTTTTGCAGTGCGGAGTACATAACTTTTTTTTTTTATAAAAAAACAGCTGTAAAACCATTTCATATACTCATTCGTCTTAACACTCGACCGAATAAATATTATTTCAAGTCATTAGCGTTAACCGAGTATAACGTATATGTTTATTGGATACCATCGTTATATACTATATAATGATGTAATTCTTATTAGGACATAGGTATATAGTAATCGTGTTGCATTATTTAAGGAAGTTTCGTTTTATTGTACAATACTTATTGAGTTAATCTCAACAGTAGGTACCTAAAAGTCGTTATACAGATATTATAGGTTTTTCATTTAATAAAAAATGAATGAAGATCCACCTATAATAATAATTAATATTGTATGTAGATACCTATACTGTTTTCTATATAATGTAAAAGTTAATTGAAGAGCGGTACCTTTAAGTTAGGCCTATTCAATTTCATTTCTATGTTATATACCAAAATTCAAAAACACACTCACCAGTTTTTTTTTCAATAATAATACACATTATAGGTACCAAGACATAATTATGTGTGTATGAGTTTGTATGCAGGACGTGATTTAAAAACACAAATTACTATACATATACACTCGTACATAGTATTATTTGATTCGACTTAAAAATGAAATATGATTTAGTACGAAATTACAAAATAATAACCGTTTCGGGTGAAAAATTAAAATTGTCTTTTTTGTTTCTGTTCCGGGCATTAAAGTCTCCATTGCAATTGCCTAATATAGAGATTTAAACGTTTTATTTTATTATATATTTTTTTAATAGTATATAGTATATATTTTACGATATAGTACCTATTGTGTCGAACCGACGACTTTGTGAAGTTTCAAATTACGTGCGTCGACTATAAAATAATACGATATTTCCGAGACTGCTGCACAAGTGCACAAGTAATTTAACAGCAGTGCTTACAATATATAAACCTACGCGTGAACGAGCAGGCGGTGGTCGGTTGGACAAATGTACACGCGTATAATCTCAAACCATATTATAATATTTTATTATGAATGTGTTTATCTTTTAATTATTATTCGCTCTAATTAGTCGTTATCACGATGGTTTCCAATACGGCTGGCTGTGGTGACGTGGGTCGAACCGGTTGGCGGTTTATATTGATCGCTGTCCAGCGGTTTCCGCAATGTGCCCATTAATCGGCAGTTGATATATTCAGTAGCCGGACTCCGGCAAAAGGTGCGTTGAGTAGAAAGCGAAAAAATAAAAAATAAAACTCATATTATATATTATAGGATTTGATCTTACGAATTTATCCGAAGCGCGAGAACTCGTTGTAACCATCATTAATAAAAACCTTATAAATCATCTCCTACGGTCCCGACGGCAGTGTATGTATAATACGCATAGCCGCAACTGTTGCAGAGTGCGTCAGAGAATTCGATACGCAAAATAAGCAATAATAATATAATATCCAGGCACGATAACGCTACACGTAAACAGCATATACTTATTATATTATTTGATATAGTAAGAATATTTTAAAAATCTGTAAATTCTCAAAATAAATTGTATCCGCCAATATAAGTATATAATATTTTACAACTTGATGATCATACTAATATTTAGGTACTAACCGTTAGCATTTGTACAACTTCGTGGACCGCTAGTTTAATACATCATGCGTATTGCGTATCAGTGCGTTTAATATATAATAATATAATACATATACCTGCAGTATTATGTGTTTATGTGCCTGTATACAGTCTAAAACGGTTACAATAATTGACACAGATTCGCGTCGAGATCCGTATAGTGCATTATAATAAACACCTAAATTTTACCGGTTTGTTGTATCCTCGAGATTTATTTTAATAATATGCCTAATGCCTATACTTTTAAATGGCGTGCCGGACAACACTATATTCTCCTCATCGGCCGTGCGGCCCGCTGCACGTATCATTAACACGAGATAGTCCGTAAACAACAATAATAATATGACACCTCGGACTTGCGGCACACGGCGGTGCTCATGTCAGAACAGGTTTCTTTTGTTTTAGGATTAAGGAGAAAATAAAAAAGATAAAAAATTATAAAAAAAAAATACGAGAGCACGCCTTATCCCGCTCCTGATCTGGTCGGGTCGGAAACTCGCGCGGCTCTCCAACTCCCGGGACCGCGCGCGCGCGTGTGTGTGGTGTGTGTGTGTGGTGTGTGTGTGTGGTGTGTGTGTGTGGTGTGTGTGTGTGTGTGTGTGTGTGTGTGTGTGTGTGTGGGGTGTGTGTGTGTGTGTGTGTGTGTGTGTGTGTGTGTGTGGTGTGTGTGTGTGTGCCGTGTGGTGTGTGCACACGGAGAGTTAACTTCCATCGGTGTGTGGCAATCGGCTGTTGTAGGTATAAATACGCTGCAGCGGTCACGCCGGCGCTCCTTATTGAGAAACGGCCGGTCCTCCGCGTTTCCCACAAACACGCATGCATGCTCGCGTTTATAATAATAATAATAATAATAATATTATATGTACGACGACGACAATTATTATTATTATTATGCCGATTTTGAGGAGTATATTGCGCAACTCGACCGGGCATCGTATTATAATAATAATTCCGAAATCTCGGCTACGAAAACGATAGAAATCGCCATCGTAAAAAAACAAACGTGCGGAGTTAAATCTGCATCAGCGTTATTCCTGCAGCAGTGGGTTTCGTATGATTTATCGTCGTATTATATAGTTGTGGCTCGTTATGTGCTTTGCAACATCGCAGTTTAGGTATACCTATAGGTACAAAAATAGTATATTGCAATTTATAATGGGTACGAGCAATTTAGTCTTATGATATAATTCGGTGACAGATGAATTACACTCGTGCTGGCTCTTAGACATTTGAAATATTATATTACAACCTCCGATAAAATGATGGTAGAGCAATTATTATTATTGGTGCACTGCGAAATTAATGGACTCAAATTTTATAATAAATTTAAAAAACGTATTGTTTCAAACAAACTGATTTTTGGCCATTGATAAAACGATGATGTTCTTATGATTATGATATTATATCATATTTGTACACCACTCTTCAGTTTGTCTTGCCTCCATCTAAATTCTAAGTATACATTTGTTTAGGTAGGATACCTATAGCCAGTAAAATATATCATAAATACAATATAATGTATTGTAATAATAACATAACAATATCTACACCAACTTTATTTACTGAGTCGTGGATGGGTTTTCGATTTAGAGCATTTTATGGTATGTACAACTTTGAACAATTTTCGGTCAGTAGGATCTTGCTTTAGGTATCTATACTCTATAAGGACAAAAATCCATGAAAACTATAATAGGACGTTTTTACATTGTACATAATGGCTCCTGAATACAATTCTCCCTAATTTTATAATAATATATAAGCTAAATTATATTGCATACGACTATACCATTATTAACATGTTCACTGAATTATTTTATCTAAATTTGTAATATTTTCAACAGAGAAGAAAAACAAGGAGATTTAGCAGAACAGTTAGAAAGTGTGGCTTACGTGCTCTGCGGTGATCAAGCTATAAGCCTACAAAAATTTTATCAGATATTTCAAGCGAAAGGCGTAAGTACAATGCAATTACATACAATAACAAAGCAATTAATAAGGTTGACATACTGTTTTTTTTTTTTGGTCTTTAAATTACTATGTGACAATACAAGTTTCAACAAGTAATTAAATGCGTATTTGTGTCATTTTTAAAAAAAAAATGTGCGGTACCTAATTATTTTTCCAAACTTAAAAATCAGATCACAATTAATAACTTTACGTATAAACAGTTTTACGAGGGTAAAAGAAAACACGTAATTTAATTAAATATAGTTTTTATTTAATAGTTTTATCATTTAATCGTCTAGAATTTTAGATATCACGTAATATAAGTCTCATACTATAATATATATAATATAACTATTAACTACATTCATATAAAGTTTAAGACAATTTTATCTTAAAATATGCATTATACATCATCGTACCTAATAATTATGTATTGTGCATGTTATTATATTATATTGTATTGTTGATCACAAAACGAGCTTTCACCGAATCTCTGGTTACTTTAAAATATTAAATATTAATATGTTATAACAGCAACTGTGACTATCCTTCATACACTGGCTGTCGTTCATTTAATATTTTAAGGTAACATATTAAACTGCGCAAAAAACAGCGTACAGCAAATAATAATAAAAAATATATTGCATAATGATTGTATTAAAAAAATCTTACACTCCGGCTAATAATGAAATTAATTAATTCAATGTTTTATAGGTTAAATATGAAAATGAATATACTTTTACTTCACATTATCGAGTAATACACAATATCCAATAACGTTTAGGTCGTAAGTGAAGAGAGAGGGAGACGTGTTGGGGTCTTATATATTATATACGTACCCTTCTTAGAACTAAAAAAAATAATCATGCAACAGTATATTATACAATATAAACGTAGGTATCTACCTAGTATATCACTCATAGCTTGTTATCCATAATCATATGCAACGACGTATAGGATCGAATAATATTATTATAATAATATGTTATGATCACGGTTATCTAGTGGTTACGTACTATATAGATACCCGTGGTTGCGGCATACATGTGTTTGGATAAAAACCACCCTAGATGCTGGAAAAAAGACGTGAATAAAATCATCTTATCCGTCGAACCCCGCCGTATAATGTGCATTTTCCGGAGTATGCACTATGCATATTAAATTGTTTGAGGTAATATGGTCGTATGGGGGGGGGGGGGGGGCCCCCCGGGGGAAAAAAAAAAAAAAAAAAAAATATTTCGGGTCCGCCTCTATCCGCTACACTGTAATAATATAATATTTGTTAAACGCGCATAAATCATAAATTTTAATTATTTAACAACGCGCATACATTATAATATACGTGTGTACCTACTACGTAATGTTATTACTAAAAAGTAAAAGTGTTTTTTTGTTTTTGTGTTTAAATATTATTATTGTTATGATTGATATTGATAGGTTATTTATGTATTATATTATGTACACATAATACATATATATATATATATATATACGTATATAAATAGATACTTACAGTATTATACCGGCTCACCGTGTACAACACTGTACCTATATGAGTAATATATATATATGTATTATGCTATGTACCTACCCATATAATATGTTTGTAAGATATTGTTCGATAAGAAAAATTGATAGTGACCGTGACTGCAGACACATGCCAATATATAATTGTCGTGTGTCAGAACGGCGGTGTCGAGCACGAAAAACGACATTGTCGTACACGATCGTATCGTGGTTGTCCGGCTGTGTGCTATACGGCCGATGGGTTTTTTTATATTTTTTATTATTCTCGTTATTAGGGCCCACCCATTCTGCAGGACATGTTCGGTCTTACAAATAAGTTATGCGCGCTCGACTACTGCAGCAGTGCGGCGGGGCGTGCAACCATACACATACGTATATTATGCCGCCGCCGCGTGCGTTTAATCATGAATATTATTATTATTATTATTATTATTATTATTACGAGTAATTAAAAATTAAAATAAAAAAACAATTGGGTCAAATAATAGTACCTATGTGTTTTGTGTAGTGTGTTACGTCAAGGTTTAAACGAGTTAACGAAACAAAAAAATAAATAAATAAAAAATAATAATCTAAAACAAAATAATTGTATTATGAATTTTATGCGATACGATCATAATAAATTTTAAATACCTACCCATTAAGATCGTATAGGTATAGGCACGACAGAGAGAGCCATTGGTACCTGCAGTGCAAATCGATCAGACTAAATCATTAATCGCTAACGTGTTTCTTAGATAATATTAATATTGTCATAAATATTACACTTAACAGTTATCGGAGTAAAACGTCAAACACGATAAGTTCGCAATCTGAGTCGTTCTTATTTATACGAACGTCTATCAATATTCTGGAGGCGAAATGATTATTTTTAATGTTGTAGATTTTTTTAATCATATTTCGTGTTAAGTGCAAATTGCTTTTTTTTAACCGTCGTTTTGCCATAATTTATTATACCTACTCGATTGATTTTCTTTACATATACCAAACACATAGTTGCTGAACAAAACGCGGTTATTTAATGATAACTCGTCAATTATTTGAATGATTAAACCAACGAACAACCAACCCTTGTTATAAGACACTGGCGGACAAGTCTTTTATTTATTCAAAAATTATGCACCGAGTATATTATACGTTCGAAATGTTTATATTTTAAAGATATAAAATTATTTTTTATGAAAATATAACTAAAATACAGTTTACGCACATTTTTAATTAAAATAAATCATCGTTTTATGTAAATCATTATCATACAATTCGCATATAATGCATTTCGTGTCGCTATAATTGATGTGTATTTAATATAATGATTGCCTTCTCCTCCCTATTCCCTCTCCATCACATGGGACCAATTTCACCACGACTTGTCGATAAAAAATAAAAACCGTGTAAAAAAAATTACCTAGTTCTATATATTTTTACGTTCGCTGTATTATAATTTACGAGATTAAGTCACATCATGGATGATAATTATGTTTAATATCGGACGTTGCAGGTGTTTAACTACTTAATATTTTTCTCCGATCGTTACTTTGTTGAATAAGTTGAACAACCTAGGTACCTACATATATTATAAGAAATATAATCGGTCAATTTGAACTCGTATATCATAATATGTGTAACATTAAGACCGCATTAAAAAACCATGCCTGCATATTTACATCAGATTATTCAAATTGTGACGTTATGGAAAAAAAAATTACGGATTAATTTTATACATAAACGTAAAAAATAATAAAAATAAATTGTGTTATAATAACAGTTTTTGCGAAATGAAATACCAATACGATCTCAATAACTGCAGCTGCAGCAGTAACGGTTTATTCAAATCGCGTGTCCCCGAAACCGGACAGAAAAATCGAGGTTGTCGTTCAAAATTCAAGAGTTCAAAAATTGTAAGTCGTGTGAATTTAAATATTCATATGATCCAAAAGTTTAGTCTAATGTCCCGCACCTAACTGAGTGTACCCTGATTTTTGGACACACGGAATAATACTATTTTATTGCGATGATGAAAATAATATCAAATTCCATTCGCTTTTACTATACGCGCTCGATTTGCACTGGGTGCAGCAGGATTTTCGCGCAGCGCAAAATTTGTTGATAAGGCACGGTCGCGTAAATACGAGCAGGATACGCAGAAAAGGTGAAATTTTCGTGAACGCATTGACTACAAGAGTTAAAAAAGTTATAGCAACATTTATGATCCAGTAGTTTCGTTTCATTCAGAATTCAAAAAAATATGTATTATTTAAAACTGTCTATATATATATATATATCTAACCAATTACGACTCAGCACTACTGCTATAACACAACGCCGCAGTATGGACGTAGACATGCTGACACGTTTAAGTATATTAAATTTAAAAAAAAAAATACCTATGTATGGGGATGGGGTACTGAGTAATAAAAGTGACCGAGTTATAGAGCATGCAAGCTGTTTTTGGGGACACTCTGTATAATATTGCTGTGATGACGATAATACGCAACATCAAAATATGCTTTCTATATTATATTCGCTCAATCTGCAGTACTGGGCGCAGCTCACGGATTTCTGCGCACAGTTAGTTGATAAGGCACGGTCGTGTGTAAGTACTGTATAGGTTTACTATATAATAATAATAATAATTATTATTATTATTACTATCGCGACGCGCGTGAAAACGCTTGTGCGCTTTTGAGAAACTGCGTCGCGTGCTGCTCGCGCCCGGCACGGAAATTTATTGCAACGATCGACCGGCAAAGATAAAGACGTAACTACCACGAGTTAAGATTTTTTCTTCACACACACACACACACACACACACACTTGTATGTAATGCGAATAAAGGTAGACACACACACTATTATGCGTGTGGTGAGTATCTATATAGTACGGGTACCTATAATAATAATATATGTTCGCCGCGACAATCCAACGAGTTTGATTATTTATGATCCGTATAGACGACCGCGTTTGCGACCTGTGCCACGCCGCTTGTAAACGCGAGTCGAAATGAAAATAATGGATTACGGCACGGGACCCGATTTAATATAAGGTACACATAATAATATTATAGTATGTGTATTATTGTAGTGTTTATCGTAGAAAGGCGTTTTACTCGGGGGCTTTTAATGGGACGAAATTGGAGAGTAACAAAACACCAAAGTAATATTATATTATTATATTCGACGGATAAATTTGCGCCTTATATAGCTAATATAATAATGCAAATAATAATGTGATGTAGGCAGTGTTCCCCACTCCTATCTACAGAATTAAAGTAAACATATTTTGTAAAACGCACTGTTTATACAGGAAATATTGATTATTGTTCGATGAAAGTTATAACCACGCTAAGACGGAGAGGACGCAGTGAATAATAAATTAAGAAAGCTATGTAAAATTGTACTTCAAAAAACAAAAATCAGTTAATGAAACGCATGTAAGTATAGGTATATGTACCTACGCGTATAAATAAATAACAAGTGTAACTAATTATGACCATTGAGTTATGCGTTGGTGCAATTCTTGTTTTAATGATTTATTTTTCAAAAATTATTTTTGATAAAGTAAGCGTCGCTAATGGTTTGTTTTTTCAATAATAAAATAATCGTACTCAAACATTATTCTTATGTTGGTGCGACAGCCTTAAAAAAATAAATAAAAACCTTACTGTTTTAATAGGAAATTGGAATTTGATCAATGGGAATGGTATTGAGTTTACTGTTTTGGTTATGAAATCAATAAAATATATATAAACGAGCATAATATTATGATATTATGTTATTAAACATATTTTTTAACATTGTTTTGACCGCCGTACTGACGGACGGTACTAACTTCAAACATATTATTTGCTAAACGACCCTCAAGATTTAAACTTGAAGCTATTTTTATGTATTTATACTTAATAATGGGACAATTATGTAATATCACAAGACTAACGAATCACATCATAATGTAAATAAGTATGTTTCATCATTCATATAACCTACAAAAGCAATTATTTTTAGATTTTTGTTTGCACCCATTCACGTTAAACACTTGATTTCTTACCAAACTACTATTTGAAAGCTGCAGGCAATATTTCTTGACCAATTAAAAATATGCCCAGCAGATTATATGAAAAATGAAAGGCAATATTTGTACAGTAATTGTTTAAATTTATTCGTAAAATTAGTTTATTTTCTATTTTTTGTTCAGTATTGAATCATTCTTGCCGTTTTGTTTTAGACATAATTAAACACTTATGGAAAATTAATTTTTAGCTACTTTTTTAGTTTACAAAATAACGTTACTTTTACTAGATTTTGTGAGATAAATTTATAGTATAAACATAATATGCTTAACACGCATACATTAATATAATTTTTTTTTAACATTTTTAAATTAATAATTAATTTATTCACGAAACTATTCAAATTAGTTACATGTTCTAAAAAAAAAATCAACACACTATTCAAATACACATTTTAATCTGTGCATTTAAACATTTTTACTATTAAACAGTGTCTCTAAAAACTGTAGTTTTTATAGCGATAAAGTATTTAAAACAAAATAAAAAATACTGAATATTATGTATTAAAGTAGAAAGTATTAGTTTATAATATATTACGTTGATTAATGGCAGTGTATTAATGCAAGAATGGAAAATGAGGAGGGTGTGGTGTGCGCATTTTTGGTGCTTTGTACATCATCATCATCATCATTTCAATGATAAATACAGTGATGCTCAAGATAATTCCGAATGATAAAACAATGAATGCTATTTCGAGATCTCTGACAGAAAAAACTTTCGAAGTATCGTAATCTTTTGGATTGATTGGCTTGTATTTATTAAATATGTACTTGGAAACGTCACCGTTCCACTTGAGTACCAGTCCAGCCTGATCGATCCACGACAGCAAGATATTTATTCTTCTTTTATACGGCGAATTCCTAAAAATTAAAAAATTAAAAAAGCAAGTGAACATTACTTACATATTTTGTAAAGTTTCATGGAAAAAATGTGGTTTCTATAAAAGTATTTATCTTTATCACAACCTATGAACTACGTATGATATAAAGTACGATATCAGACACTCGTTCATTGTATGTAGAACGCGAGTGTTGTTCCTGTTGGCGATGAACAGGACGTCTTTGAAATGCCCCAAATTAAAGACGTTAACGCGCTCAAATCCAGCGAACTGGCCGTCAGAATTATGAATGTCTACTTCTTTTTCCCACTTCTCGACTCGGTAGGCTAGAGACTTCAAGTTTGGATCTCCGGTTAATATTTCCTTGAAGCTGATGCTGGACGTTCGAATTGGCAAATCCGACTGTTTCAGGTCAGTAAACGTATTGACATCGGGATAGTGCATCGGAGTGCTCAAGAACGTCACCAGTGATCCCTATAATAACGTTCGCCAACAATTAATATACTATGACCATTCATCTCGTTATGAAGTATCAAGGACATGAGTCATTATGAAGTATTTTAGTGGGCGACGTGCGAGAGTATGAAAACATTTTTATTCGGACATGCTGTCTAATATAAAATAATATATTGTAAGCATGCAAGCAAAATGGTACCTAATCGTATAGTCGGTACAGTATTTACAGTAGTTACCTGGAAAGCGTTCAAAATGACAAGTGTAAAAAACAGACAAAACGAAGTCAATATCCTGCGACAGGACAGAGCGAAAATCCGGTTGGTCGGTGAGCCGATGAACATTCTGTAGATTTCCAGCCCCAAGTCGGACCCCCTGAGTCCGGGCCTGTGCGTGTCCAACTCCGCGGCCGCGAAGTATATGACGGTGACCAGTACGCAAGTGATTGCCGTCATCATCCAGACTTCTCTCTGGAAACTCATCAACACGGTCATCATCGGCGGGATGACTCCGGCTTTTGGCGTGAGCAAACACACCTTGTCGCTCGTGATCTGTAGAATCGCGGTTCCAACGGCGCGGCGGTCGTCGAAAAGCCAGCGAACATATACATAATAATATAATATTGTGTACCTATTACTATTAGAAAGTCACAACAATACGGGACACATGATAATATTATATATATTATAATAGCTGTTACGAATATGGGCAATATAGTGTACCTATATAGTAGTTGTCTATGTGTGTTCGAACCGCACGCAATGCGTATTACTATTGATTATACATTATTATAATATATATACGTATTTACGCACATATGCAAAAAATAAACGATATTACATATTTCGTTCGTTATATACGAGCAAATGCAGCTACAATAATATGTATATATATATCACACATACTCGCACAAGTGCATATAATACAGAAAAACACAATTCGTTTACCGAGAACATGCATGGTAATTATATTATATTCGCTATAAAACAGTTTCATAATAATATATCGTGTCTGTAAGTGTAGGTATACAATATATAGGCACTGCAGTATAATATACACGCTATCAACTTAGTATTGTTATTATTAAATCCAACCGGTGGCAGTAAATTATAATATTATTATGCGGTTTTTACTCTGTACGTGTCAATGTTTTCATATTATTATTCCAACGGGAAACCATTGAAAACATTGCTATATGATAATATTATGTATACTATACTGTAGCATTCGTACTCGTTATGTATGAAATTCGAAAAAAAAGATTAACTTGTTTTTAGACATTTTAGCGAGTCATAAATTATGATTTCTGTTTCACATTGATTTCTACACGACGCCCTCGAGCACTGTTTGCAGTAGTAAATATAATACACATGCGAGAAACCACGTATATATATGTATAATTTTCTTGGGTCAGGCGACCTATTGACCTACGATATTATTTTTATCACTTCTTAGTTAATTGTTTTTTTTTTTTTTATGTAAAAACCTAATATTAGGTGGGAGGTACACAGAGTACACAGGGTGATTCACCGAGCATGATCACCCCCTTTTTTCTTCAATAATGCAGTTAATCAAAATCTGATGTTTTGGAATATTTAAATACACTGAAATATCATGTTTTATAATTTTTAAGATGGTTTGTACGATGAGTGCGAGGTGCAGAAAATACAAACTTCTATTTTTCAAACGAGAACCCCCTTTTCACTGGTGTCGTCATTCGGAAAACAGAAGTTTGTATCGTCAGAGTACACTACACTCTCTGATTAGTACAACAAACGCCATGAAAACGTGGTCTTAAAGTGTATTTGTTAAATTTCAAAAATCACGGTTTTGACTGACTATACATTCTGCGGTCGAAAAAAATAAATGTGGGGTTGATTTCGCCCGGTGCACAGAATCGCCCTACACACCCGGTGACCATACTAAATAACAATAATCGTTGCCGCATTTACGTGTCTGGTGAGCTCGGCCAAGTAGCAGTTGTAGTCTTTCAGAAAGTGTCCGTTGACCGAGACGTCGGCCTGGCCGCCGATCACGCCCGCAAACGTGCCGTACGCCCTGCCGGATGTCCGTCTGTACCCGTAGTGGATCTTACCGTTGGCCGACGGCTCGGAAATGTAAACCGGCGTGGCGTTCATTTTGGCGGCCAGCACCGTGGCGAACGTGCCGTCCTGGCCGATGTACGTGCCGCCCCTCGCCGCGATCACCGTCGGCATCCGATTGTTGACGACGAACCGCAGCGGGAATCGCCGCAGGTTACCGATCCGCGAATGGAGTATACCCGGTATTCGTCTCAGTGACCGCGGCGGTACGTTCAAGAACCGGCCGTCGACCGCGTTGTGGACGAACGGGTCGAGGATTTTCATCACGGTTGGCGTCACCACGATTATCCTGGGGGGTGGGGTGTGGAAAAGAAAACCACGTATTAATCTCTCGCGAAAGTGAGCGATATTTCGCACGACGTGTGGGTATGTAATATTATTATAATTAATAATTAAGTATACCACTCAATCAAAGATAGTAGGTATTACTGGTATTAGGTATTATCATTATTTCGATACAGACGTACCTATATATATATATATATATATATATAGTGTTATATGAAATTTCCATAAAAATGTCAGCCCCTAATATTAAAAACAACAGTTTGGCTGTAACAAAATACGCATTATGGAATTTTCAATCTATTTTACATTTCTACGAGAGCGGACATGGAAAACAAAAACAATAATCAAGTAGTGATTTTTTTTAAATTATTCTTTGTACGATCGCCATTCTACTCAATGCCCTTATTGGATAATTTCCTATGCTCAATGGCTCGACTCGGAATAATGCTGTGACATCTGACAACGACCAGTCAACTTCCCTATTGTTTTCAAACAGAATCGACCAATCGATAAAATAATAATTTGTCGTATAGGTAGCAGCAGAAAACCTGCAAATACGATTTCAACGACACGACAAAACCGTATGTCAGTGTTTGCGGATGTTAAAACAATAATGTCGACGATTTCTAATTTCTTATTCCTATAGTGCTGCGTTTGGGAACCCGCCATTAGCGGGAGCGCGCATAAGACGCGTTGAACAAATTGAGTGCCTGAATATATTTTAAACGTCTAATTGATTGTAGCATATCATATCATACACGTAATTAGAAAGGATATACGAACGATAATCGATATATAAATACTTTTTAGTTAATAAGAAGATCTTTGCAGTTTTCCTCCCCACGATTCGAGTATACCGCAGATCATCTCCCGCACTGCAGTCGAAAATATAAATATTATTATTTATTTAAATGCACAAAATTATTTGTATATTTTTCATTCGAATAGTGTAGGTACAACGACGACGACGACGACGACGGTCATAGAACCGAGCGGGATAAACTGCTAAAACGGAAGAAGAAAAAAAACCGACACGTTACGGACGTCCTACGTGTGTGTGTTGCGGAACACATTACTCACGAACTGATGCCATGCGCGCATAATGTGCCGCGAGAGCGTCTTACGCCACATCGTTAAGGAATTTAATTTATAGTATATTGGCCACAAAACGACGTTCTGTCGCGGCGTTTTCACCGGGCGGGTAAAAGGAACTATAGGCACCTATGGTGATATTAATATAATAATACCTATACATACGCCGGGTATAATATACCAATTATACCGACCTACCGGCTAACGTATCTACGCCTACCTATACCTAGGTATCCGAGGTAGGTATACCAGTCGATTGATTTTACTGTCTAAACCGTTCAAGTTTCTTATGACATATAGGTACTCTTGCAGCCGCGGTTCCCCGTTAGGCCGGGCTGGTACCGAATTGGTTCCCGAGCCCTTACTACGCGACGGGCGCATGTTGAATAATTATATGGTTCCTGTGTAAAAAAAAGGTATTTTTTTTTATTCAGACGAGCTGCGTTGGTCCCGGTTTTTGTTCAGGTCGAATAGTTCAGATATATTAATTTTAAAACGATCTTTTGCAATATATGAAATCATGTTTTTGTATAATTCGTACAAATCATAAATTAGATAGTGTGGCATACGATTATGAACTTTACAGCTACAGCGGGTTGCAGATTCCATTTTTGTTTTTGACCGGTTTGCTTCCACTTGAACGATCGCTAACGCACATTTTTAACCACGACTAAACTTTACTTTTTTAATTTGAAAGTCCTAGGCCTATAGAATTGGCAAGACACATGTGCATAGTTAAATAGCGATAATACTAACTCGACCAGTAATGGGATCACCTTAAACTAAAACTGGAATAAATTATTCCGATCACCTTTGTAAGACTTCCTTTTTTTAAAAAGGGAACCAATTCGGCCGAGGGGGAACCAATTCAGTGTTTGGTTTGTCGTCGAGTTGAGCATTATAATAATAATATCCTCGTTGCTCGTCGGTTCCGAAACGACGATAATTTAATATTCCGGTTTTCTCTTTTACCTATATACATAGAATAATATTAATATCTCCACCATATTATACACCATACATAATGCAATACATAGGTAGGTATATTATAATAGTAATAATACGTTCGCGTCATTAATTTCCCGCGTACCTGTGCTGCAGTAATTTACTATATATTATACATATTATACACCAGCCCACTGCTGGTCGTCGGGCGGTAGGTACCTACGTATACGCGTACACAATATATATTATGGTGTTTCGACAAACCTCCCATGAACTCATCAATTAAGTCGTCGACGACGAGACTAATATACGCGCGCGTCCACCCATCCCAGGGAATCGTACCCACGGGTAGGTATCACAATAATAATAATAATAATAATATGTAAAAGTCGCGTATCGACTTATTATAAATCTTTATTGAATCGGCGTCGTCGGTCAAATAATAATAGGTAATAATAATAATAATATTCAAATCGTCCGGGCATGGTTTCATTATGATATGTCGAATTGTCGACGATATTTCTATATTCGTAGCTACCTCCGCTCCTGCAGTTATAACTACTTTTGCGGTTTTCGATTGGAAAGAGAAAATAGTCACGTTTTATAGTGTGACCAGGGCACTAGGCCCCTATTTAAGTGCGTCAAACTGCAATATTTCGGCTACGCACCTATGGTTATATATATATATATATATATATTGTTATACATAGATTTGTTCGGGTTTGCCGGACGTCTTACGACAATATATACGAGTTGTTACCTTTACCAAACCCAAATATATCACAAAACTATAAAGGATATCATGACGCGCACTCGAGGTATATGCACAGTACATACCAATATATTGGTTCTAACCAAAAAATCTCCAGTGTAAAGTTCAATGTGTCCATCATTTAAGAATTAAGTAATAGTGTAATACAATAGTGATGGACGCAATGTTTATTTAAAATACAGTTAGGTTCGCATCAAGTATGCAGAGTGTAGGTACTCTCGCATGATGTGCTGCAAGTATAGATTTTTCAGGTTATACCACTTTCCCGCCAAAATGTATCTTTGTTTTTTAATGACAAGCATTTTCACATATGTGACGGCAATAAACATTACAGTTAAACGTTTACCACCAAATCAAAATTTTTAAATTTATTCGTTTTTCCGGTTTCAGTGACTTTCGGTAATGATATGTATGTTGATTTGTTCTATCTGATCCTATGGGTAGGAGGTACCTACTTGTATAATTTAAAAAATCATTAATTTAATATTTATTGAATAAAAAATATTTTTCGATGGCCGTAAATAATCAATACTTTTTTGATGAATAATAATTGTTATTAATATTAAATCTATGTAAAATAAATGCTTTTTAGGTGGTTTCTAAGGTTAAAAAACGATATAACATTATATAAACTCAGCAATTACAGACATCTATAATGTTTTTACAGTACTGTAAACATAGTAAGAGTCCACTTTCCCCCCCAAATATTTTCCTCTTCAAGTCTAATAAATAAAGTATTAAATTGTCTTCATGTTTGTTTAAGTATAACTATACTATACCTAGGTATGACATTTTAATTTATACTTTAAAAAT